ACCTAAATCCAATGAGGCTTCATCTTCATCATCGGAACAAGACTGCTTTTATCATGGTGACTAATGATCTCAGTGGGTTCTTTTTTCTTTTTGTAGCAATTGTAAGATGTAATTTACACACACACACACACACACACACACACACACACATCTTTGATAACATGTCATTGTTTATGATAAATTCACAGAAATGGAATAATAGTAAAAAGATAGTAGATAATCTAACTTTTGATTCCTTTTCCTAAGATTGTTTCAATAACTTTTACTCTCACAATTAATGTGAGTGAATGTTTTTCCTTATCATAGCTAACACAGGGAGTTATTTTAACTGCCTGAAAGTTGAAAAGTGCTATCTCTGATGTGAGCTCACATATTTCTGAAGAGGTGAGGCTTGCTGACTATGACTGTATTGTCTGTGGAGAATAGAACTACATTTTTTTTTTTTTTTTTTGGTTTTTCGAGACAGGGTTTCTCTGTGTAGCTTTGTGCCTTTCCTGGGACTCACTTGGTAGCCCAGGCTGGCCTCGAACTCACAGAGATCCACCTGGCTCTGCCTCCCGAGTGCTGGGATTAAAGGCGTGCGCCACCACCACCCGGCTAGAACTACATTTTTAATATAGTTCTATTAGTCTGTTTTTGCTTTTATTATCTGTACACTTCAGCATATAGAAACCTTAGAATCTTTCCTTAATATTTTGGAGATTTGGATGCTATCTTCTTAGCTCTTCAATGTTACCATTTTTCCTCTTTCTCATGAATCAGTAACAGTTGTTTTCAAATATTTTTCTTTAGCTCACAGTTCATAGACTGTCACTTTGTTCACTAGTTTTAAGTTTCTAAGTTATTTGGCTGTTTGGCTTTGTTGACTCCACCTGACAAAACTTCAACTCTGCTTGCAAACACCCAGGAATCTCAGTCCAGGTATAAGAGAGACTCACACCTGGTAGCCTTCACTACACAGTAAACCTGCTAGTACATTGATTTTGGAGTCTCTGGCATACACACCTGTGAGAAAAGAAACTTCTGGCTTTTATCCATCAACCAACTTCACGTATTTTGTTATAGTAGCACAGATCACCATTTCAGAGAGATTTCAGTTTATCATGGCAGGAAGGTATGGTGAAGTTCATGGTGATGGGAATTTGTAGCAGAGAGCAGACCATGGGATTGGAACCAGGGCTCTAACTCTGAGGCCTGCTCCTAGTAACTTACCTCCACCAGCAAGACTCTGTTTCATAAAGGCTCCAAAGTCTTCATAATAGTTACATAAGCTGTGACCAAGTGCAGGCTATTCAAGATTCAAACCATAACAAAGACCCCAATCTCTAAATAATTTGATATGGGGTGAGGGACTAAACACACAAATTTGGCTAGGATGCTAAGATTTAGCAGTGCAGTGATTTGAATGAGAACTGATCCTATTGTGCAGTTATTTGAACACTTGGTTCCCAGCTGGTGGGACTTTTTGGAGAGTTTAGGGTACAGTTTTGCTGGAGGAGTTGTGTCACTGGAGGTGGACCTGTAGATTAAAAGCCCCGGCCACTTCCAGTTCACCCTCTCTGCTTTGTGCTTCTGGTTGAAGACATGAGCTCTCAGTTTCTTGTGCCAGCCATGAGGCCTGCCCGTTGCTGCCATGCTTGCTGCCACAGTGGACTCTTACCCTCTGGATCCGTAAGCCAAAATAAATGCCTTCTTTGATAAATTTCCTTGGTCATGGTATTTTATCACAGGAACAGAAAGGCAATGAATACAAGTGGGAGTAGCAGGTTGGGTAGTATGTTAGGTTTGTTGATCAACAGGAAAACTGCCTGCTGTCCTGACTGTGGAATGGCAGTATATTTTAGTAAGGAAACAAATCCTTTTGCTGTTTTTGGACATACCTGTTATCAAAGGTTAACTCAAAACAATGTCCAATTAAAAAGTAAATCAAAGTTACAGAATTTTTCTCAGAATGAGCTTTTGTCATCCTCATCTTCCCATGCTGTGACATTCAGGACAGCGAAGTGTCAAAGCTATCCTTTGGTTGTTCAGGTGGTGTCTCATGTCTTAGGCTGTGCTTTAGCTTTGGATCCTCCCCTTCCACCTGCCCAGGGCTGGGGCTTGTAGGCACCAGCTCTCCAAAGCAATAGTAACAATATTGTGATACATGTCAAGTTTTTATGCCTAGGCTATAATTTGAAAATTTACAGTATATGTATGAACATTTTCTATAGATAAACTTACTAGTAATTTAAAATTAATTACTGCAAATTTCAAATGACCTTCAGTTTTACTTGCTATAAAAAAATCTTCACATGTTATCAATAGTGCCTTTAGAAATTATGAAATTATATATTGTATCTCACACATGGTAGTGGGACACAACTATATCCTCTAGCCTTAATTATAGGAAAAGTATAGACAAGTATAAGGCCTGGCTTTATTGTTTTATAAATGAACCAGTAAAGTTCATGTCAGTGAAATGAGCATACACTTTTCATAAATTAAAATAAATCTCACATGGTAAAGTACCCATATTCAAAATTAATTTAATTACATGTTTAAAGTTTAATTATATTTAATTAAGCATTTAAGTTTAATATGAAATAAATGAATTATCAGTTAACTACTATGAAATGAAATACTGCCTTGGTAATTAAAATCTATAAATTTTCCTATTCTGTGTGAAACTGCTAGCTTTCAAAAAACATTCCAGCAATTATACATTTTAAAGACCATTTGACTACATCCCCATAGTTTATCAAAGTATAATCTTTTGGCCCCTCAGCTTGGTGAGCTGCATATTTCCCAAAATGTGGAGGTTTTACAAACATGTTTTTGGGTGTTGCCTTAGTGCAGTGGTTGCTGCAACCCTTTAATATAATTCCACAACCATAAAATTATTTTGCTGCTACTTCCATGACTGTAATTTTGCTACTGTTATGAATCATAATATAAATATCTGATATGAGACCCCTGTGAAAGGATTATTTGACCCACAGGGTGAGAACCACTGCCTTTAGTGACTTATAATTTGCAACAACAGTAAAGTTGCCTAGCGTCTCTGAACTCTAGTTCCCATAAACTATGATGGTATTATTCAGCTCAAAAGTCTATTGGTAGAATTAAATGGATAGGTTATGGTCATATACCTGAACAGTCCCCTTCTTGAAAGAGACATTTGACTAAAGTTAATTTCTTCCTCCCTTTACCTGAATGAATGAATGAATGAATATAAACCTCATATTATCTGGCTTAATAAGGTTTGCTCCTTACAATAAATATGCCTATTTTAAATGATAAAGCAATGATCTTTTTTGTTTACACTATCCTTTATTTGATTTTTGTGGTGCTAGGGATTGAATCTATGCTAGGCAAGCACTCTACAACTTGGCTATGGGCCTAGCTCATATTTCTTATTTATATGGCTGAGCATTCTTCAAATGAAACATACAGAATTACTGCCATCACAGAATTCTAAGTCAGCAATAACTTTGAATGCAGGTATTATCACTTTTTGCTCACATGCTTGTGTGTGTGTGTGTGTGTGTGTGTTTAGTTCAATGGGCAGTCAAAGTTGGGAAACTAGTATTTATTGACATAATGATTCAAAGTTAACAATAACAAAAGTAATATGGGTAAATATGTGGTATTTCTGTTTATTAGCCCCCCAACTTTTACATGAGGGTATTGTGACTTCTCTGAATTCAAGGGGGGATCCCAAGAGCACAGCAGGATGAAGTCAGTACCAGAATCATGTTTTTATTCCTTCATTAGTACTCTTTTGTCTGCAACAAAACAATGAAAATGGCAGACACCAAAGCCTTCAAAAGGAATGAAGCACAAAGAAAGAGCTACATGTTCTCCTGGTTCCATCATTTTGTTGAGACCCTGCAAGACCTACATACATCAACATCTTCTGGAAAACAGAACTATTTGCTCATGATATAAGGATGACAGAAGGTAATAAATGCAAGATGCATAGTAGTGCACCCGACACATAGTAGTCATTCTTTAACATAGCCACTAAACTAAAACAGTACCCATGTGACATTTTATGTCTCTGACTATAGATTAGAGAACCTGTTAACAAAGTGAAAAAATTCTGAAAAAGACTTAAGTTGAATAGTGTTGACAAAATGTTCAGGTATTATTTCTAGAATAGACACAAGACATTTAATTTCCCAATTTCTTGTCTATAAACTCTAATAATTTAAAGATGATTTGATAGTGCTAAAAAACCAACAACAACACAGGCTACAATCTGTTCAGTAGCTTACTATGGTAAGAACTGAAAGTAAGTTTTCTAAATAGCTTACACATTATATAATATCAAGTCTGTAACTTTCAGAATTCTGCTTTAATAAATTTTTGTCACTATAAACAGGTTAGGTTGTTTAAAAAACTCTAAACTATCTTGCCAGCTAAATTACAGAGTGTTTTATTTATAGCATCACTAAAAGTATAATGTCTTAATATAAATGGAATATTAAAAAGCATAAAGTGATAAATGGAGCTTGGTTGTCAAGAGTGCGTGCCTTGCATGCACAAAGCACCAGGTTCAAGACCCAGTACTGCATAAAAGCAGGTACAGTGGCATATAGAATAAGCCCAGCTCTCTGGAGGGAGCGCTTAGGAGGATCAGAAACTTCAGGGTCGTAATTGGGCACATAGTTCGAATTCAGACAGGACTCAATAAAAAGTAAAATAAAATAAAAAAAGCAAAAACATATACTTGCTTATCCTTTAAAAGATCACTTACTGAAAAGTATTAGCAAGCAGCTAATTGTAACTAGCTTGGTATCCAGGTCTATCACATTATAGTAGTTCACAGAACCAGAAAAAAATAAAAACAACATATAACAGGATATTACAAAATACATGTATAATTTCTTATATATTGTAGAAAACTAGCATTATTGGGCTATACCTTTGCATATGAAATATTCAAAATTCAGGCAAAAATTCAATCTACTGATATCTGAAGTCTGAATTTGCTGTTACACGAGCAGTTGACTTACCAGGATTCTCCCTTAAGTTCTGAAGTTATGTGTTCTGGAAGGAAGAATCCATGCCATTTTGAACTCCCTAGAAGCTCCTGAGAAATCCTTTTTGATACATCATAATAGTGACCAAATCGTGAAGATGACACTGGTCCAACCTGCTGGAAAATTGTGCTGGTTATTAAAATAACATTATTTTACACTGTAATTTCTTTGTCTTACATCAAACTGATGAGGAGAAGTTGATATACATATACTTATTGAATTTTTTTTTTTTTTTTTTTTTTTTTTTTTTTGGTTTTTCGAGACAGGGTTTCTCTGTGTAGCTTTGCGCCTTTCCTGGAACTCACTTGGTAGCCCAGGCTGGCCTCGAACTCACAGAGATCCGCCTGACTCTGCCTCCCGAGTGCTGGGATTAAAGGCGTGCGCCACCACCACCCGGCTTTTAAAGACCCATACAATAGCCTTTATTAGCCAAACTATATACAGTGAGGAATTAAACTTTCTACTCTCAAGTTTTTTTCAGTTAATGATTCCTAGAGTTTATAATAATTGATATACTTCTCTCATTTTAAAACTATTCTGTACATCTCTTTCTAAGTTAAAAATGTAATATACATAATTCTTAATTTATGTAAAATAGCTCACATTCTTAACGACAAATTGAATAAAGAGATATAAGAACTAAATGAAGTTAAGCCAAATTAATTCATTGGTTGGAAGCGCCAAAAGAAATCAAGTATTTAGATTTGTTTAACTAAGCATCATATTGAAACTAAATGCTCATAGGACAATGTGTACACATGCACAATATGTCTTATAAACTTAAACAAAGCTGATGGTGTAAGATGTATCAGAGTCCAGACAGGATCAAGGCATGCGTGAGAGTGAGAAGATGTGTGGGAACTATGTGAGACCATCAGAAACTTGGCATGATCATTAGTTCATGGTTTTACATTCTTTATTAACAGTTTCCCCAAGAAACTATCTTTCTCTTAGGAGACTAATAACTATTGGTACTGAATTTATTTACATATGTGAGTAAAAATCTATTAACTATTGTTCTGAATGGACTCTAGGTTGATTTTAATGAATACATTCCCTGCCCCCATACCCTTGTACATAAAGTTGAACTATTAACAAATTCTACCCAGCAACAGCTTTGTATAAATGCTCTGGCCTGATGTTTATTGTGACCATTCCTGAGTGCTAAGAAACTGGCAAATTTGGGGATGCTGAAAACAAATATAGTCTCTGCAGAAACGTGAGAACTCTTAGTGGGTTCTTATCTTACAGAATGACAATTTTTTAATTCAGTTAAACATGTTTGCTTGACACTAGCTATGTGCATTTAAGATTTCAATGATTCATATTCCTAAATTAAGTGCTTATAAACATCAAATTATACAGTCACATGAAATAAAACATCATGAAGTCTAATAGAAGCATTTTTCCTAGATTGAGTCTGTGGGTGTGACATTTATTTTCTAAATAAAATGAATGTGCATCTCTCCATAAGGTACTATTTATTTTCATTAATGAAAGACATCTATTAGTTGGCTTCAATATAATCTTTTCAATGCAATAATAATATGTGCAGAATTATGGTTCCTAAGACACAAATTCTCCACTTATTATGAAAAGTATCGACAAATAAATTATATGAGATTAAAATAAATTTCTTAAAAATAGGGTGTAAAGGTTTTTAAATGTAAAGTTATTAGTCTAAAGCAATTTAAACAAGGTCTGTTCTTTGGCCTATAATTGATTCTTTATCCGGATTATAGTTCAGAATGTTTTTACTGCAATCTCTGCAAGAGCTCATCTTTTTATTGTGTAAGTCCAAGCCCTCTTAATGTTTCAGAAAGGCCTTGACTAACTGAACTTTGATCTGATGTCTTCATTGAGAAAAACACCAGGTTGCCCATTTCAGATGCAAATCCCCCTAAGGCCCAATAGAATTTAGTAAAGACAGCAAAAAAGAAGAAACCAGAAGTTTCCAGGATCCTCTTTGGGAATCCTGGGGCACACTGGTGTCCTTAATCCATGCAGTAGCATGGATTAAGGTAGGTGATAACCTTTCCTGATTCAAAAGAATAAGCTGAGTGCCTACAAACTGGGTGGAGACTAGGCTTTGGCTATAATAAAACACCATGCAATAAAAGCTGGGTCTATGTCAGAAGCCTCTGAAAAGGCCTCAATGTACCACATTCCCAGGCCTGGTAGGGAAGCTTGCAAAAGCCTACCTGAATCAAATAAGCATGAATAATCTATTTTAGCAGACTGACCATGGGGAGAGAGAAAGAAAGAGAGACTTTTCACTTCTTTTAAGTTTGAGTTAATAAATTTATTAGTGGATTGAAGGTTCTTGAAGTCCCATGCACTCACAGAAATATACCAAATTACCAAAATGCAAGGTATGCTTTTTAAGTTGCCGTCACTTTTAATGTTTTTAATTATAATATTAGTGTGCTAGAATTCTCAGATTTTGGATGAATCAAGGCAGAAAATTGATTTCATGCTGTGACAGTTTACATACAGACCACAAACAATTCATTAAAATGTAAAAATAAAACTGGTAAATTTTCTTACTATAATTGTTACTAACTTATTTAGATGCTAAGACCAAATATGACAGGAAAAATATTGATAAGGTAGACACAAAGTTTTCATTACTGATGAAAGATTTCAATCTTTTAATAAAGGAAAACAAAACAAATATATTCTTATAGGATAAAAAAGTTTTGCAAATTTTTCTATCTAAGACACATAATATTAGCATACAGTCAGATTTCTGAAATACTACAATCTTTTGAGACCTAGCAATTTCCTTTGAAAATAAAATCTTACTGTTGTTACTCTAACAGTGTTTATCTATAAAAATATCATTGTCATAAAAATTAAATTGCAATTTATTTCAACCTATCAGGAAAAAGCAGTTCATTTATTTCATGTGTTAAGAACATGTTGCTTTAATTTTACATATGACAACTTTTATTGCTTACATAACCTACCTTTTACTTTATCATCTGTAGAATAGAGAAAAATTGAAGTTTTCACTATGCTAAAAAATGAAATCTGATGGGAGTCCAGGAGGAAATCTGAGCAACAGAACAACAGCACACTCCAACACCACCACACTAGAGCTCCAGTGTGTTAGGAAGCAACAAACTACAGAGGAAACACACAAATAGTCTATGTAAGCTCTGTCTCACCACTGTCAGCAAGTCTTGTTTCTGAGAGTGTAGCCTAACAGACAGCAAGAATCCAACCACCCACTAACCCACGTAGAGCCCCAGCTCAATCACTAGAACTGGGCTAATCACGATTTTACTATGTTCTCAAAATAATCTATGCAATATTGGCAATTAATGTTGTATACATTTGAACATAATATGAATATTATTATTACTAAGTTATGATTCATTAGAGAATCAAAAAATTTATCATTGTTCTTTGTAATTACATTGCCTTACTGAACAAAATTTGTGGCGCATTGACATATTAACTTATCTACCAGAATTGTTGTGGCTAAACCACTAATTATAACAAGAGTCTGATATGCTTCCATGACTCGCTGGAAGACTGGTTGGTACTAGAGTCCTATAATTCTGAAGTGAAATCCAGAATGCACTGCAGGCCAGCAATCTGAAGGGTGAGGAGTGAGTGGGTACTAACAATCAGGGAGAAGGCAAGTCCACCTATGACAGAGAAACTAAATCATTAGTGATACAGGAAGGATTCTTAAAACTACATATTCGTTGGGTTGAGTGACACATTTATGCATTACTAAGTGCCTAACTTCTGTATCTACACCCTCATATTCCCCAAATAGACTAGGACTACACTTGTTGGATTTGGTAACAATTTACATTAAAGGGCATCTCTGATCATCGATATACCTCATTCTGGACTACTTTTACTTCTTTACTTTTAAACCAAAATATTGAAACTTCATTTTGTTCACAGAAATATAGAAAGCTAAATGTTTTTGTTGCTTTATTTTCAAACTGGGAATTGCAAAGTAATGCCTAGACTTCGAAAAAAGATGAAGACAAGTGCTGGCCAAAGATCATTGGCACAGGTTAGTCACTGAACATAAAATTATTGTGATGGGCCAAAAAAGAAAAAGAGAAAAAGGAAAAAAAGACAGCAAAGAAGTAGACATAATTCTTATTTCTTAAACAGGAGGCATGCATTGGTAAACAGAAACAAACTTAAATTTGAGCACTGACAATAAAGTAAAAAGAAGCGATTACTTATGGTAGTATTAATGATTGCAATTTGTTATTTAATTTACTCACTAATTCATGGAATATACATTACATAGCAATAAAGCAAAACATTCTCTTTCTCTTTCTGAGTTCACATCCTAAAATAGACACAAGAGAAGTACTGAAATGAATATATGACTTCCTACTTTAAATAATGTATTGAAGAAAGTAAAGCAGTGAAAGAGAAAGCAATATTTCATGCAGCATGAAAAAGGAAGTCACTGTAGATGATACAGTATTTCAGAAAATCCCCAGGAAAAAAACAGAATACTGAATAAAGAGGAGAATATTCTAAATTATAATTTACAAAGAAACAATGGAAGTCCCAGGAAAGATGGTGGTTCTGCCTTTTTGTGATCTCTTGAAGTATAAGTTATGATAAGGGGGCTGAGAAGATGCTCAGTCATGCTACACAAGCATGAGGATCTGAGTTAAGATTCCCAATACCCATCTAAAACCCCTTGAAGTCAGAGACCGGAATATCACTGATGCTCACTGGCCAGCCAGCCAGTTGGTTATTTCCAAGTTCAGTAAGAGACACTGTCTCAAAACTTAGAGCGAAAATAACTGAAGAAAGACATGGTGTTGGGCTGGAATACAGCTCAGTGACAGATGCTTGCCTAGCAAGTATGAGGCTTTAATTTCTGTTCTCATCACTGTAAAACAACAGCAGCAGTAGCAACAACAAATAAAGACTCCTGACATCAATCCAGGCCTCCACGTGAGCACACACACACAAAGTGAGGTCAGAAGGAATATCTTCTATCCTTAGCAGAAGAAGAGTGAAAGAACATTGCAAATCATCAAAGGGAGTGTGAAGCCAAGTGAGAAGTGTGGGGAAAAGGAAGGCTGGCACAAACACAAGCAAGATGAGCTTAAGTCTC